AAATCGATGTTTCTGGGAACGTTTGTTCATTTATAAACTATTACTTGCATTAACATGAAATCGGCTCTGGTGCATATTTTTTGAGGTAGAATTCAATAAAATTAACACCATCGATACGTGTGTATCTGAATGTGGTGAACAGGAATTGATATTTTTTCAAGACTATTGTTGGTCCATAAAATTTCCTCGGTCGGTGTATGACGGCATCTTTTCCTGTACTTGGGTTAACCAGTTAGATGTCCTGTGGCGTTTCCCCTTTTCCACCACCGACGAGAGGGAGGGTCAGCTGACCCCCAACTTCCGCGGCAAAGGCCGTTTCTGAACTGACCTATTACACCCATGGTCCCTCACTGATCGACACTCGGAATCCCCTATTTCACAATAGAGCACATTGAGAAAACGAATCCCAAACCCGATTAGCGGGCACCTGGAACGTCTCACCGAGTTGAACTTGCTCATTGGAGGTCGATCCCATCATGAGGCATCCGGCTGTTGCAGTAACACCACCACTAACTGCTTCGGGGGTGAATGCTATATGCTCTCTAGCTCTTAACAGAGCACACCGGATCCGTCAGTAATGTGCCAACAATTAGCATTGGTTGTCTGACTTTCGGGTCAATGTTGCTCGGGCGAAAGCTTCCTCTCAAAAAGGTGGAGTCCGTAACTACATATAGTTTTAGTTTCTAAAATCATCAACCATGCACTTTCGTGCGGCGCTTTCAGTTGCTGTCTTTAGGTTACGCATTTTGATAAGAGAATAGAGAGCAGATTGGAATGTTGAGAGCAGATTCCTTAAACATGAGTGTAGCCGGGACACGTCCCACGAGGCCAGCCCGAAACATCGTACCTCAAACGACCCAGATACCAAAGAAATACTTACTTTCGCCGCTTAGTCACGCTTCACTGAGTTTTTTTCATTTTGGCATTCAGTACACTGCACAGGAATCACATCGCGATAGTGAAATTATATATCATTAATGATTGTGAATCTTCCCAATCGCAGTACATTTCCGTTCACAGGAATTTACAAACCCTTTGTGCTATATGTGATTTTGAATCTCACATCCGGTCTCAAAATGACGTCACCCCTTTCAGTTTGCTATATGACTTTTTTCCTTCCCCATGAAAACTTTTTCCTGATTGATAATTTATACTGTCATGTAATGCCATGATTACGAATAACTGAAAACCAGCTTGTTCGCTTCATTATGTTTGGTTGAAATGCGTTCTGTGGGACCGTACAAACAAAAACGCAACGAATGCCGTTTTATCTCACGCAAAAGACAAATATCATTTGTCACCAAATGGTCTGTGGCTGTTAACAATCGTGAGTCACAGCTATTGTGTTGTGGACGAGTTTAGTTTTTAGTAATACAACATCGAGATCGGATGGTGGTAAACAGACTTCCATGCAGTAACTAGACAGCCGATCATGACACTGACCTCGACCAATCTGAGGGAATAAAGCACGTGAAATCTGATTGACGGAATCTGAAAGGCGGACCTTGCTGAATGCGATCGGAAAGCAAAGAATTGGCCAAAGTGTGATTGAGACCTGTGATGTTCATTTGCATGAATTTACTGTACCCTCGTAATGTAATGATTCTACCTGACCTCGGTTTATTCGGTTGGCATTCAGTTCAAATCCGAGCTAAAAATATTCTAGTTCGAGTATGTTTCCGAATACCATGGTTGTANCCCGCCAGTACACAATGTTCTAAATAAGGATGGGTAATAGTATGGTAGTATTACCTCGGACCCTCTACACACTTTCACGGCACATAAACGTCAAACCTCATGTCGTGCATTGTGAGCCACTTTCTGACATTGTAGGGATGGCCAGAAATACTCTACAATGATAAGTTCCTCATGCTTTTCTTCGGGGATGTGTTGTATATGGACCACACCTCCCGTATCATTCTTTGCTATTGTGATCAGGACCTGGTATCAATCAATGGTGAGTAGTAGATCCATTATTTTATCCCTTTCCGATCGGCTGTTGCTCCAGGATTCCCATTCTTAGATATCCTCGTGGTACGAAAACCAGGCTGGAGCAAAGAAACCAATGTGAACAGAAAACCGACAAGTACGGATCAGGTGCTGAACTCCAGTGATATATATCCCGTCTGTCTTCTGAAAAGCTGTGTGCACTTTGTTTCACAACACATTGTAGCACAAAATAACTCCAAGTTCGTATGTTACACCTGTTTCTCATAAACGGATAACCCAAAAGCGTGAATGAATCATGCCTTTTTTGGAAGTTGGATGCTAAAATATGAACGGAAGGAAATTATGCAGGTACCACTATGCATATACGGGGTTTCAAAATGAATCCATGGCATCCCCCACGCTTGGCATGTTACTGTTGTCCACAAACCTGAGATAAAACTGGAATCTATGTTGACAATCCGGTACAGCCACTCGATCAGTTATGGAAGGTCTACATAAATACATGCCTAGTCCACGACGAATCTCATATAGGGCAGGCTGGCAAACAATTGTTTACTCCCCAAAGGAGCGCATACTTGCTCTACAGTGCGCTCATCTTCACTGTGCCTTCCCTCAGGATAGACAAATGCAAACTGTGTGCGGGAAGAGAAGTAGTTTCATAATAGCGAGGTGAAATGGAATAACATTTTTCATATTCCGCAGTCCACAGTGGAATAGACTGAAACTGCGTAAAACCACGAACCCCCATATTGATTAGCATATTGGGCTTTCCTAGCCTTCATGGGATATTGCTTGCATCGAACCGGACAAATGGTTTCACTGAAATTAGGAGTAAGCACTCAGGAACGGGATAACGCAAGGATACAATGGATCTGGCATTATACTAAGTAACATTATTGTTTTTGTTATCATTGTTCTGGCGTTTGCACCATGTTTGTCTACAAGCCGGTTTACATATATATATATATTCGTCACAACAACCTGGTGTGCAACACTAGATGACCATTGGATAGACAGCTCTTTTAGAGCCAGTCCGTTGGACAATCAATGCTATGATTCGATGTTTTGAAAGTTGGTTAGATGCTACTAATCGCAACAAACGTGACGTGATAGTCTTTGTAGAATATTTGGTAATAAGTAGTATGTGAATGACCGGACAAAATTTCCCTAGAAGCACACGACCGGTTTCGCTGGTTCTTACTGCTTGTCAGGCATGTGTATCCGATAGTCCTTTGTTAACGAATTCTTAAACTTGCACTCCCAAATGTGAATTAGGCAACTCAAACTTGGTTTATATATTAGAGAGTTCTTTCGCGATAACTCAATCTCGAATAATCACTAAGCTGATTTTATGATAGATTTTGTGGGTTATATGTGTCTAACCTGAGGGGATCCGACACCAGGGTCTAATTAATTGATTACCGTATATGCATACTGGGAGAGCAGGAGGACCGCGCAACTTTTGGGAGAGTTTTTCTATCATGCCCGGATTTTGAGTTTGCTAACATTGGATGCATCTAACCCACAAAATTGAACGCAGAATCACTGCAAGGGTTTGGCATTCTCAACGAAAATGTTCTATCATATAGCATTTTTTTCGGCTGCTTCCATCTTCCCCAAAAATTGATTGTATTTTCATCCATTCAAGAAAAGAAAGAACAACGATAATAACCAATGAGATGTTTTTTCTTTGTTCACAATAAACTCGTTTCACCCCAACAGTTAGTTGAGCGAAAGGACTGAAGAATTTACTGCTTGGTAAACAAGTTGAAAAGCCACTTCCATTGTTCTCAGACGAAAATATCTATCAGGAGGTTAAACAATGAATAAAGTCACTATCCATTTTCATCTGAATCTTCGTGAAGGTGATGGATGCGGTAACATTTTTTGCTCCACTGCGTTGAATCAACTATTGACTGGTCAAATTAAAATAATAAAAAATATTTCTCCCACGAAGCAAATGCATAAACTTGTCATTTACTGAATATTTAACATGTATGATAGACTAGCTAGATTGTTCCAGGTCACATCATCCGCTCAAAGTGAATGCACGTTCAAAAAACCACGAGTATCGATAAAAGTGAACCGAATTCACCATATGCAGTCCTCATTCGCAATTAAATGGTCACCCAACCGATTTCTCTCTTTGTTCAACTACAGGAATGATTTGTGGTCATTTACGATCTGAGGCTTGCATGATGCCAAGCTATTTTCCTTTATCATTTCTAAATCCGAAAGCAGACAAAAATCATCAAAGGAGGTTAATATTGGTGTTGGAGGTGAAGCGTTGAGAGGTTGTTCTGGTACAAATATTTGTACGGTGATTGTTTTTAAATTAGAAGGCTCCGTTTACCTAAAAGAAGATACGCTTAGGCAAAATTAAGGTAAGGATTAAAGTAAATGCACGCCTTTCGCAAGCCAGTGGTATATATATATATATATATATATATATATATGAGTTTGTCTGTATAAGAACTCTGACTGACTGTACCAAAATCTGGAATGGTAACTGAAGGTTATCACACAATTTAATGACCCACTCCATTGTCATCTGATAGAATTTCATCCCCAACCGATGACACATACTGAGTATTACCAAATCAGTAGTAATACAAGTCTTCAGTAAACTATGTTCAATACGTTGTGGAATATCGTGATTAACGCGAGTGAACTGCAGAGGTCTGTTTCCTTAACCTACCGTATAGCTTTCANTTCAGATGTTTCCCCAACAAGCTAGCTCACACGTTTGACGACGTTCCAGAAGAAATGTACTTTCCTAGCTTTCATTTATACATAGTGTGATGTAAAGTATTTATACGTCGGGGTTAGAAACCAAGGTACTGTGTTTGATTAGATGATACTCACTTTTGTAAACCAATTCCTAAATAACCTCTGACCGAACTAACGATCCTGTTCACAGACTCATATGAATGGCGCCACGGTTGTAATCATCTAAGTGTTGTAGCAATAAATCTGTATTGCATTTCTGTTGTAACTGTGGCACACTCACACAGGCCTCTCGTGTGACATTTCCCATCCCATTCTATCAGATACATTTGCCAGTAAGGTGGCTGCAATCGGGGACCAGTACGCGGATTCGTCAATAGGAAATGTGACCGGTAGTAATGCAGTCAATGTGTTTCTGGGGATCGGTGTGGCTTGGAGCATTGCGGCCATTTATCACACAATTCACGGCACGCAATTTCTCGTCAAAGCCGGGTCGTTGGGATTCTCTGTGACAGTGTTCTGCATTTTCGCACTGTTGGCTATCGCAGTCATCATCCTGCGTCGGCGCCCGTCTGTGGGAGGTGAACTGGGCGGTCCGAAAACAATCAAATATCTATCAGGTGTATTCTTCATTGGATTGTGGATCATCTATATTGTACTAGCTGGACTGGAAAACTACTGCCACATTGAAGGCTTCTAAACCGTGGATTGTGTATACCTATACCTTATATTACTCGGTTACGCAATCTTTGCCCCCATGGCACACATGCGATTATGAGATTCTGTTTCGCATCGCGCGGTACAGAGAAAAACAATGATGTTAAAGACAGTAAGCGTTGTAACAATTCAGCGAATGTCTCTCTCTCTAATAGGGTTATCAAATCACTTCACGCTTGATATATTCCTTGTTTGAGATTGTATCTCCCCCCTCTCTCTCTCTTACTAGTACTTCTTCTCTACTTCCTCCACCCTTGTTGTCAATGCACAAATTTATCACAATGGTCCCCATGTATATGTTCCCGCGTGCCGCAATTCCCGTTGAAACGAGGTTAGACAAGTCACTAAAGTAACAGCGAAACGTTAGAACTCCCAAGAGCGTGTAACACCTACTAACCCCGTCACGTTGATTTTCAGCTATCATTCTAATCCGATTGCAGTCACTTTCTCTTATTATGACCCACCGCGGGTTTTGCTCACCTCCCAACTGGTTTCTATGAATTTTAACAGAATTAGATCACACGACAAACGCAACAAAAAGCACGATGCAAATGGCTCATTAACTCGCTTATGATTACGCTCTTTCTTTTCTACTGAACATGTTTCACCTAGATCTATTTGTTAGTGAAATTCTCTTCCCTTGCTTTTTCTGAAGTCCCCGTCGTAGTCGGATCCATGCCGCCAGTTTGAGTACAGAAAGGCGGTAGTGCTTCATGAAGCCACACATGAAAAGAACCTTCTGATTGGGATGACCAGTCCGCGCTCCCTACCCTATCCCCTCAACAATCCAAAAAAGCCAGATAATGCAAAAAGTTGAACTAGATGGTACGATATATTTTGCTACGCCGACCTACTTACCCATTCACGAACTTCGATATCTTTCCTGCGGACTACTACGGGTTCCAAAAACGCATGCATGCTCGTACACGTACGAGGAATTCACTCCTAGACGGATCATCATCGAATGAGCAATGTCTTCTCGTTTTCCTTTTTTTCAAATCCATTCACGTATAAAATCCTGAAAACTATATACCCCATAAATGAACATAATACTCCATTTCTTGCTGTGGTTTAAGGGGAAACTATGATGATGATTACATAACCATACATTGCAACATAATGTTTAGTATACATATACACAGTTGTTGTCGGATAACCCACTCTTATTCTCGGAATGTTTGCTTTCAGGCGTGTGGCCAGTACGTGACGTGAACACGTTTATTTGTTCTCTATGCACTCGTGTATTTTACCATTTATCATTCTCGCATTTGGTCAATTTCGGAGCAGTTTACCCTGTAACGCTCTTTTATACCAACCACTGACTCTACACTTCGGTTGCGTCATTACTTATCGTGATCTGTGTGCGGATCACTGATTTTCTACTCAAAATCTCTCATCATCACCCCAAGCATCTCCGACTGAAAACAGATGACAGACAGAAAGCAATACAGCTCCGACTGTTTTCAGTAAAATCATAGATTTACTATAAAAAAAAGTGGTGTGCACCGTGGAAAAACGCCTACGCACACACAGACCTCTATAGTGACGTTTTCACACAGAATAAAAGTAACAATACACTGCTCTTTCAATTACCAAAAGAACAGGTCACATGAAACATAACTATATGGGCATACGCGATGACACAAAAGAATTAGCACTGGGGCTACGGGAACGGCACTGAGATCTTTGTCACTGGAACTCAATGGTATCTCGTAAGGAAAAAAACAGAGGGCAGATCAACACCAGGTCTCATATCCAACTGTTTGAGAGAATTTGCAGCCAAACCGGGCTAACTCATTTTTCGTGAACATTATTTTTGAACACGTTAGGTATAGTTTGGTGACAAATTTTCATTGTCGAACTACAAAGCTGACGGAACTCGGTTGAAGTCAAAGTTTTATTCAGGGGAATACTTACAAGCGGTTGCTTTTCTAGTCCCATAGGGTTTAGCAC